TGGAGCAATGAGCTGTGTTGCATTTCCCTGACTCACAGTTGCAGTTGCAAAACTTGTATTTGGCACAACTGTTATGGTTACCTGGTTGCCAGAAGTCCCTTGGAAAATGGTTGCTGGGCTATTTGAGATCAGTGGACCTGGCAATATTTGTAAGTTTGAGATGGGCACAGTTTGTACTCCCCCTGTGGGTGGCATTGCACTTTGGACCAACTGAACATTTTGCTGCCCAACCAATAACTGCTGAGCTGGAGTTTGCCCCTGCACTCCAAAACCTGCTGCTTGGTTATTGGCCACCTGATAGACCACCTGAGGGCTAGGAGCTCTTGCATTATTAGGGGGAGGAATCTGAGGAGCTGGGAGAATAAGTTTACCACCTGGAGTTGAAGGACCACGCTTTGGAAGCAGCAGCTGTTTTATCAGACTAGACTCACCAGATGCAGGCTGACCAACTCCTGCATTAGTCTGCTGAGGTTGAACTTGCATCTGTACTTGCTGTGGCTGTTGAACTTGTACTTGTACCTGTTGTGGTGGGGGTGCTGGTGAATGCTGCTGCTGTTGTTGCCTTTTCACAGATAGCATCTGACTGACAGTAGGAGGTGGTCCCTGTGACTGAGGGGTAGAAGAAGACATGGCAGTGGGGACTTGGTTATTAGTGGCTGGGACAGGTGATGGTGAAGAAGATGGAGTTATGTTTGGTTGTCCAGTAAGCTGAACTGTTTGACCAGCTGGAAGAGCTGCTGGATTCGCAAGAACAATTTGGTGAATGGCTGGTGCATAAGTTTGACCTTGTTGAGCTGGCTGGCTTACAATCACCACACTTTGTTGGGTTGGCTGCTGTGGTTGTTGAATAGGCTGCTGTACCACTGTTGATGAAACCTGCTGAGAAGGGAGAGGTTTAGGTGCAATGTTTTGAAATCCTACCCTTGAAGGTTGTGGGCTTGGGACACCAGCAATGGTAACCATTTGCCCTGCAGCAACCTGAAAATTCTGTACTGAAGTTGCTGAGACAATATTGGATGCAGAAGTTGTAACATACGGTGGAGGTGCTATGATGACAGTGTCTTGCGGCTGGCTACCAGCTGATGTCTGTTGAGATGAAGTCTGCACAGGCTGGGGTGATGTGGTGATTAACGGTTGACCCTGTGAAACTGTAGAAGTACATGCTGGTATATTCTGTACTCTGCCAAATATATGACTCTGTGGGACAGCTTGCTGAATTACTGTAACAGGAGTGCCTGAAGTTATCTGTCCAGGTACCACTGTATGTAATGGAGATTGCTGTGGAATTACAGATGGGTGGTGAAGCAATGTCTGAGAATTCACAACCGTAACAGGTTGTGGTCCTGTATTATGATTCTGAACAACAGAACTCTGTGTAGGTCCTCCTCCAACAGCAATACTAACAGGAACTGCTGTCTGGGATATAGAATTCTGAATTACTGTAGCTTTAACAACTTCACAAGAAACGGGAGCTTTATTTTGAATGACAGTCACTGGAGCATTTTGCTGCTGGTGAGTATGAAGTGAAGGATTTGGTGGAATTCTTGAAACAGTCTGTGCCACAGTATGAACACCTTGTACTGGAAAAGACATTTGTGTTGCAGTCAGATTTGGAGATTGGTTGGTAACAGGAGTCCTCTGAAAATGGTTGCCTACAGTTTGTGATCCATGAGGGATTCCTGAAAACATGGGGGAAAAAATAAAAATTTCAAATGAAATGACTGAAAAGCTGAAAGTAAAAATGATTTTACTTAATACCAGAGAAAATAGTTTTAAGAAATTAACTTCTAATAACTTCAAACATATGAATATGACAAAATAATAAACTAAGTAAAAAAAGTATTACTAGAAAAAGAAATTGGTCATTTTCTTTTCTTTAAAAAAAAAAAAAAATTGGCAAAAGATGCATATATGCACCAGAGACAGAGAGGGGGAGAGAGAGAGAAAGAGAGGGAAACCCCCAAAGGAGCTTGATCAAACTACAGTCCCTTCTCCATTTTGTCATCCTGTTGGGTTTTAGGACACATGGGCACACACACACACCTGGCAAGTTTTCCAAGCCACTGGGCCAGGACTCGAACCATGTGGTTGGCCATATGGGACCTGGCTCCCCCATCCACTAGACCAAGAGGCCAGTCCACATTTTGAATGTATATAATACAAATTTTCAATCAATTTTATTAAGTTAGTAATATTTAAATACAATAAAAATACCTGCAGGTGAAGGAGTTGGAGATATATCAGGAACAGAATCAACACGAACAACAGGAGTAGAAACTGGTTGCTGTTGATAGTACATCTGAATGGGAAGTGGTATAGCCCTCCGTTTTACTCCTACCACATGAATATGTGCCTGCCCACTATTACTGGAATCTTCCACTCTCTTCACTGTATGATTTGGAAAGACCGTTCTGTAAAGGAATAATAAATACTCAGTTTTGATAACTAGTAATAAACACTAAATTCTAACAATGTTTATACAAACAATGGCAGTATAAATATTTATTTATGACCATTATGATTCACAAAGTTATATTCTGTAATAGTAGGAAGCAAAGAAATATAGAAGCTTAATTTGCCTATTTAAAAAATCATTATAGGCTTGATGCATAGTGCATTAGTTAAGTGATGTATGTAGTGAACCGAATCCCATGTGGTCATCCATTGTCAAACAGCCTTAGCAGTTTGAAAAACACAACAGGCATGTGTGCACATATACCCCAATTCCCAATGGGATAGAGAAAAAGAAAAAGGAATGAAGTGTGATAGCAACCCACTAAGGAGTGTTTTCTCTCTCTCCCTCTGGCAAGCACATATGCCCTTTGGCAATATATATATTAAAGACTCATTTTAGGGGACCAGCAGGTGGCGTGGTAGTTAAGTGCTGGACACTCCCACATGGTTGACCACGGTTTGAGTCCTGGGCCTGGCGGCTTGCTCTTTCACTTTCCCTCTCTCTCTGTTGTTCTCTGGTCAAATTAAAAATAAAATGAATGAATACATAAAATTTAAAAAAGAAAAGACTGACTTAGCCTATTATTCAAGATTAAAGTCCTATCTAAAAAGAAAACTTAATTACTCCCATTTCTTTTTTTGATAAACCTCATAACATTCCAGAACAAACATCAGATGTGATTTCTGAAACTGTTTTCCTCCAACTGTTTTCACTACAACCTACCCATATGAAATTTGAACTAGCAAAACTAGTAAAAACTAGACAGATACTTGGTATATTCTCGAATGAACAAGAGTTGTTTTCAATGAATTTAAAGAATTATATATCCTACCTAAGACATTTATAGAATCCAGTTGATGTTAGGATTCCACCACGAGCTAATTTACTGCAAGTTGAGAGGTATTCAGAATACATTTCTGCCCGAGATACAGAACAATCTGGATTTACTTCGAAATGAGCATTTAGCCTAAAAGAGGAGAAAAATAGAGGCATTACACATATACTATAGAAAAGTGTATATTTAAATACTATAACACCTTTTTAAAGCAATGTATTATAAACTCATAGTTATAAATGCTAATTAAATTTCACTACCTCCTATGAAAGCAGCAAAAATACATGCTAAGATTTAGACAGATTAAATTCAAAAAATAAAGCAAATTACTAAAAATATCATTATCAACTAAGATAAAACTATTTTCACATCCCACTAAGAGCAGGGTTGATCTGTTTTCAACATACATCCTATAAGGAATAATTTCATTCAGTGAATGTCTGCTTGGGTTCCTGTCTTGCAATAATCATAAGATAACATAAGTTCCCAGTTACGAGCTAAATGCAACTACACTGAAAAAAATGAAGAAAAAACTGAACCTGGCACTTACATTCCTATAGAAAAACTTACCAATGTTTTCTCTACTCCCTAAATAAATGACACTTCCTATGCTGTAGGTTCTCATTTCCCATTTCAAAACATGTCATTTTATTTGCTAATCTCTATAAAATAATTTGAACCTTGGTCTGTCTTTTCCTTAATGTGACTTCCATCTCTTAGTTGGAATGGAGGCCTAACTTATATAGCACTCTTT